AAAAAGGCTATTAAAGTCCTTCTCCCTGTTCCAACTACATGTATGCATGAGGCCAGATTGTCTTCATTTACTTCAACTAAAATAGAATATTGCCATAGATTGAATGCAGAAGCAGATAGAATTCACCTGTCTCCTATGAAGCCCTTCATTAAAGAAATCTGCAAAAACGTATAACAATGACACTTCTCACCAACCTTTATTTGGGAAAATCAGTTATTTTTAATTAAAAAAAAAAAACGTTAGTTATGTTAATGTGTGGTAGGCAGCTTCTGACATGGTCCCTAAATGATTCCGCCGATCTTCCTGGTATTCACAACCTTATAGAATTCCCTCCCCTTGAGCGTGGGCTGGACCTAGTGACTGGCTTCTAGAGAGCGAATTCGGGGAAAATGAGGAATGTGACTTCTACGATTATGTAACCAAGACTGCAACTTCCTTCTCTCTTGTACTGGCACTCTGTCTTGCTTGTTCTGATGAAGCCAGCAGCCATGCTGTGAGATGCCTATGGAAAGGCCCACGTGGCAAGGCACCAATGGAGACCTATAGCCAACAGCTCATAAGGAACTGAGGCCTCAAACTGCCCACAAGGAAATGAATCCTGCCAACAACTACATCAGTGAGGTAAGAAGTAGATCTTTCCCAGTCCAGCCTTCAGATGACTGCAGCCCATGAGACCCTGGAGCAAAGAACCCAGCTAAGCCACGAGATTCCTGACCTACAGAAACTATGAGATCATAAATATTGTTCCAAGCACTAAGTTTCGGGGTGATCTGTTACATGATAAAAGATAATTATTACATCAGTTTAAAATAAATTTTTGTTTTAATTTCTCAAATGGGATATATTAGATATAACCCGCATAAACAAAATCTCCTTGGGGTTTCTCAGTAATTTTTAAGTATGCAAAAAGATCCTGAAACCAAAAATTTGAGAACTGCTGCTGCCCTGGTTGTGGTGGGACAGAGACAGAGAGAGACCAGACCAGCTCAATCAAAAGGGGTCCATGTCCTGGCACCCATAACCAAGAAATCCATCTCGAGAATACGCCCTGGGACGAGGTGGGAGGACAGAGAGGAGTGCCATTTGCTTCTTGCTCAACCATCCCTAACAAATGGGCCTCTTTCCCCCTTTCTGTTAAGTGATTGGTGTAACAATCAATATAATCCTTATGGGTGGTAAGGGAGAATTGGTGTAAAACATTTTCCCTTGTCCTTTGTTGCTTCTGGCTCATTTAGAAGCCTCTTGAACAATCTAATATACTTCCTCATTTAATCCTCAGAACCATCTTATAGGCAGATATGATGAACAAATAGCCTCAGCGATAAGGTCATTTTAAGTAATTTGTCCAATCATGGACCTAGGACTTGGAAAGCAGAAACTGAATTGTTACCTTTCTCTTTAACATTCCATAGAGGATGTTCTTCCAAGGTTACATTAAAAATAAACAAGTGTGGGGTCGCCCGAGTGGCGCATTGGTTAAGAGCTGGCTTGGGACGCCAGCTCTGAGCAGCAGGGCCCCGGTTCAGATCCCACATGGGCCAGTGACGCTGCGCCCTCTACAGCTAAGATGATGAACAGCTCAACCTGCAGCTGGGCTGTTGTGAGTCACCGGCGACGGCATAGGCTGCAGTGGGCTGCTGCAGTGGGTTACCATGGGCTACCGTGAGTGGCCGGCAGCCAGCGTGAGCTGCCGTGAGCCGCCATGAGCGGCTGTCCAGAAGCCGGCGACTGATCTGCCTCACCCGGGAAGAGCGCAATGATGGTGCCAACTTGGGCCAGTGAAGCAACGTCCTCCACAATTAGACTGAAGAACAAAAGGACAGCAACTTGTCTGTTCCCTTTCCCCGATTCCCCAATAAAATATTGTTTTTAAATAAAACAAACAAACAAATGTGGTGATGGTGACACAACTGTGAATATACTAAAAGCCACTTTAAGTGGATTAATTGGATGGTATGTGAATTGTACCTCCATAAAGCTCTTATCCAAAAAATGAATAAATGAATACATGGGTAAAGCCAGAGCAATAACAGAGTTCTGAGAGACATAAATTAGAGGCAAGGTAAGTTGTAGTTGTCCCAACTCCTAACTTTTGGGAGCAAAAGGCCCCAGAAAGATATGTCGCAGTCTGTATGAGGACAGGGGTGCACATGGAGGCATTAATAGGTAAATGAAAAAAAAGAGGGGCAAACCAGTGCTGACATTAGGATGAGGGAACCTAACTTTCCCCCCTTTCCCCCCTGGTGAAGAAGCCACAAATGAGCAAAACGGGCTGGGAAAGGTCGTGAGTACACAGCTGCTTTGGCCTCATGATCTCTTGTAGGTGAGATCTAGTACGTGCTACTACCTATAGCAATAGATGCTAACATGTATATTAGACTGTGCACATCATTTGCCTTTTAAAATGAGGATGATGGCATTAGATTTCACATTTAACTTCTACGGCTATTTCTTTTATAAAAATAAAGGCTGCTGGACTCCATGATTTGCAAAATCACTTCTAGCTCTAAAACTGTAATTCAATGATTATGTACAATCGGAGAGATACCTGTTAGCCTAAACACCTATCAAGGCAGCAAAAGGATATTCAAAGATTTTAATACCCAACACTACTGAAATATGCTTGGGCCTGACACATTTTGCACAGGGGCAGGGCCAGGTCACACAATTAGCATCTTTAAGCCACAGACTCCTGGGATGTAAAATGGTCCTCTATTTTTATGAAGTACCTAAACGGAACATCCCTGTCCCAGCTGATGAAGTCATTCTTCGCCAGCTCCACATGTACCAATGATGCACCTCTGAAACATCAGGCATTGTTTCCTTGTCCTACTTACCCAGATGACTCCAGCTCTTTGTTAACATGGTGTCCTGTGGCCCTTAAAGAGGTTTAAAATAGGTGTCTCTCTAAACCCTGTATCTTTCGATTTATCCAAATTACACATGGAGGTGCCTTTGCAGGGAGTTACAGTGCAGCACGCCTCCCAAGCCATATGTCTTAAGTTCAACCTAGGGCCTAAGTGAATGAAACAAACGGTATTAGACCTATAAGGCTCAAAACTCCCCTGGTTCCTGGATTACAATAGCTTTCCTGTACCCCTAAAGACCCAACCCAACCCTTTATAATATTTTTTCATACCTACCACCAAGTTTTGCTCACATTCAACAAGGACCACATTTTCAATTACTATCCTCAAAAAATGTGTTAAGAGAGCACAAGCTACGTGGAATAGGGGAAACAGCTGCCACTGAATATACCACTTACTACCTCCTGTGTGGCCAAGGAGAGGTCAGTCTCTCAGTTTCCTTCTGTCAACTAGGGATAAACAGTGCCTACCTTCTAGAGTGGTAAGAATATTAGATACAATTAATATAAATTGCTAGTGTGCAGCAGAACTGTTACAATAATATCTGAATAAGGATGCATTTGCAAATCATGCAAAATGCCTCCATTCTCTTTTTTTTTTTTTTTTTTTTAGCTGAGCCATCCTGCCACCTGTTGGCAGCTCAGCCAGCTGCTCAGCTCGGGCTGGGAGTCGAACCGCTGTTGCTCAGAGCTCGCTACATTCTCACTTTTAATATGGCCCACATGTCAATCCAAAAAATCCTTAAAGAAATGTACTTCTAAGCTACTGGCACATCTTCCTTGCCAAACCATTCTACTTTGACCTTCCTGAGAGGAGGGAAAGAAAAAAAAATGAAAAAGTGGGGTTTAGCAATACTACTCATGGCTGACGACAGATTGGCAAGTGGGGGATAAATGAGGGTCATTCTGGGGACATTTTGGAAATGAAAGAGAATGCAAATCAACACCCTGAGCAAGAAATGCTAATAAAATTATTCTGATAGCACAGGAGGACACCACCGGTCATTTTATATACCTTTTCCTTTAAGTAATAAAATTTAAGTAGTTGTAAATACCAAGAGAATTGCAACTAGGAAATAAACTGAATCATTAAAATATACTCTGAGGGTTCAAACCCTTAATTAAAGGATCACCTGACCTATTTTTATCCCCTTCTGGAAATGTCTCACTTGGGAACACTTTAAACATAGCTAATTCCCAATATTGGTAAATACTATATTAAACTTGTACACTACACATTTTAAATACTGTCACATCCGTTGTATTAGCTGAAAGTTACTAATAATCAGAAAAGGAATTGGGGAGAGGTGGGGTGGGAAGGGGAGGAAGAGGCAAAGGGATTTCTTTCGGATATTAGGTGAAAACTTACAAGGTAAGCAGAAAACTGTCCATGCAGTAGGGTACATCAGTTGCACTATCAATTACACATACCAACTCTAGGTCAACATTATCAACTCTGAGCTATGTTATTTAAGCAAAGGGCATTTTATTGGTTGTCTTTTATCCCTGACTGAGCCTCAGATGTCTTATCTACATACCTGGGGATACCACCTACTAAGCAAAGGTAAGGACATATTCCAATGCAAGCACGTTTTAAATGCCAAGCACAATGCAGGAAACAGTGAGAACTCATAAATATCTTTCCTTTGAAACAGAGCTCTAAAAAATGTAAAATCTGAACAGTACATCCATTGAAAATAAATCTATTACAGTGAATCTTTCTGTGAAGAATCCCACACAAATGGAAATCACACGCACCCTGTGTTATGGCATCCGGATTTGACATGATTCCTAAATAAAACTTCTCTGGTCGAAATCAATATAAATGACACACAAAATAATATATGAAACACCTTCCAGTCACATAATAAATAAATGTAGCATATTATAGTCTAAAACCATGGTTTTACTACTAGAGGAATATGGTGTGGCTGGTCTGCTCTCATTATTGCTTTGCCTGTTTGGTTCCCATGAAAATGAAATTTACCAAAGCTTGATGACAGAATTAGACGACAATGTTGTAAACAGAAGACCACTTCGATTCTTATTACTTCATCTCTGTGCCAGAAGAGCAGAAATTCATCAAGTCCGCAAATGGGGAGAAAAACAAGATAATGAAATGGTTTCTTCCTACCCCATATTCTTGCCCCACGCTGAACTGATTTCTCTTCATTGTGTCTATCACAGATTCTGGGAAGAGGGAAGAATACAAAGGTTGGAAAATGGATTTACAAAATTAATAGCACCCTAAAAGCAAGAGAAATGGATCTTTCATAGTCTCCCCTCCAAACAAAGTAAAATTCTACACGCCCAACACTGCTGAATGATTCACATCAACTCTTATTCTTCACAACAATCCTATGTGGTCGGTATTAGCGTCACCCCCACTTTAACGATGATGCAACTGAGGCTTAGAAATATTGAGAAACTTGCCCAAGGTTGCACAGCTAGTAAGTGGCAGAGAGCCAAGAGTCTTGACTCCAAAATCCATAGTATTTACCCACTACTACACTACTTATTACTGCAGTGTAGATGAAAGAATATTTATTGGGTTCCAGACTCGGCTTCACCCCTTGGGCAAATCACTGGACCGTGCAGAGCAGTTTGTCATCTGTAAATAAGGGCAATGGCAGCTGCCCAGCCTTCTCCATAGAATCCATGTGATGCTGAAAGAGTTAATGTGTGTGCAAATATGCCGTAAAAACTCAGAATATACACCACCAAGAATGAACCCTAATGTAAATTATGGACTTTAATTAGTAACAGTATATCAACATTGGTTCATCAATTCTAACAATGTACCACACTAATGCAAGATGTAAATAATAGGGGAAGGGGGTGTGTGAGGGGATATATAGGAACTCTATAATTTATGCTCAATTTTTCTGCAAACCTAAAACTGCTCGGGAAAAAAACAAAACAAATTCTATATAGGGGTTTAGGAAGTAATATGAATGAGCCTGGTGTTCTAAAAAATGCCTGGAATACCTGAAAATGTGTATTTCATCTTTTTAGACCAATGTCGTCCATTAGCACTTTATACAATGATGGAAACATTCTAGATCTGCTCTAATACAGCAGCCACTGGACACACTGGTTACTTAACACTTGAAATATGGCTTGTATGACTAAGGAACGGAATTTTTATTTTTTACTTAATTTTAACTAACATTTAAATAGCCACAAGTGGCTACAGGCTATCATATTAGACTGGACAGTTTTAGACAATTCAAGAGACCCCTAGAAATGAACTGTAATATTACTTTGGAACAAAAAAAGTTACCTCAAAAGACCATTCAAATGGATGTAGTTATGAAACAATGCCACAATTAAACTAGCAGGTCAAGAGTGACTAAGCAGATGGTTAAAACACCAGGCCCATCTCCAATTGCTTCTCACTTTAAGTCTCATAATGTAACTGAAGAGTGACAAAGCAGTTGGTAACTTTTCTTTTAATTCCGTCAATATTTTCAAAACAACCCAATTAGTTAAACATCATTTCTGCTTCCTGAAAAATAGGGCAGAGGTCAAGTTAGAATTAGGAATACTTTTTCAAGTCAGTAACCCAGAGGAAATAAAAAATTAAGGGTCACAAGGAAATAACTTGAGTGATTTTTACAAGCTATTCACCCGATTTTTAAAATGAAAATTCAAAAACATATTTAACCACGTATTTTAATTCCTTATCACAAGTCAACTGGAAACCAAAAGGAAAAAAGATGCCCAGAAAAAGCATGAGCAAAGAAGAAAAGTACATGAGGTAAGTAAACAAAAATAAACAGCACAGACACATGACTATTCATATCCAGCTGTTAACCAAAGGGCTGCCTCAGAGTCATTACCTCTTATCTCCATCATTTAAAATGCTAGTTGATTAAACCTCAGTTCCTTATTCAGACTTTTTGTCCTTATCCCAGTAGCATATAAGGGAAGTTATGCCCTCAATTGCAGTGGCTTTTTATCAGAGTCCTCCCCTGGGGGTACCTAGGAAACCAAATACTAAGTAAGATTGGCTCCCCACCCTCAGGGAATGCATGAAGTGTCCAAAGTGACAGTGTTAAATCCCTAGAGTACATTTGGTCCACAGCTTCTTTTTCAGTCCTGCAAGTACTGGATCTTTCTTTTAGAGTACAAAGAGAGGCAGAGAAAGAGAGGTAATTGAGAAGTAGTAACACCCTCATGCAGAGACGTAAAAATACCTGACCTTAGAAACAGGCCCCAAAAAGCTAATTCTTGACACTTGCTCACATGTAAACCGAACCTTTGTTCTCCTTTTTCAAGTTCATGAATCACATTAGAAAAATATTATTTCGTAATTTTATACAGGAGTAATTTTTATGAGTATTCAAATGCATAATTAAGTACAGTTGACCCTTGAACAACACAGGTTTGAACTGCGTGGCCCACTTATACACAGTATTTATTTTCAATAAATACCTGTACTGTTTTCCATCCCTGGTTGGGAGTCCATGGATGCAGATAGCCACCAACTATACGCCTTGATATTCGCCATTTCATATAGGGTACTTGAACATCCCCCGCCGGATTTTGTATCTGCGGGGCTCTGGAATCAATCTCCCTCAGATACCAAGGGACAACTGTGTAGTTAAGTTTTGGGGGGAGTCAAAAGTTATGCAGGGGTGGGGGGTGCCCCTAACCCCTGCATTGTTCAAGGGTCAACTGTAATATTAAATAGCCCTGAGTGATCAAGCAGGACGTCCAATGTTTCAAGATGTTTAAGCTGCAAGGAAATAAGAGAGGGGGTTTCCACCTGTCCAGTCCCTTTCGCCGCAGTTCTCCATTCCTGGGCCCTAAAAGCCCTGCTCGCCATTCGTTGTGCAATCTTTTGCAAACTCCACCCACTGACTCCAGAACAAGTGGAATTCTCCCATTCTGAAGGTCTCGATTTTCCTGTATCCAAGGAGACACTGAAAACGCCTTGATGTGAGTCAAGTAAGGCAAGGGGAACGGTCTAGCCAGTCTCCAGATTAAGAGAGACCAAAGGGCAGGGTCAGGGAGACGGTCAAGTTCACCCTCACAAAAAAAAAAAATTATTTTTTTTAAAGGAAAGAAAAGGGGGCAAAATTAAAAAGAAAAAAAGGGAGCAAAAAGGGTGAGGGAGGGCTGGATTGGGAAGACCAGCTTCCACGCGATGCGGCTCCCAACTCTGAGGGACCCAGGTCCTCCAGCATCGCCTCCCCATCGCCGGCCCCACGTGCACTCAAGCCGGTGGCGCCCAGAGACGACCCCCGGGGCCTGGGTCTGGGGACCGAGTGGCCCCTCGGGACCCGCGACGACCGCCCGTTCAGTGACGGGGAGTGCAGGGGGGCGGGGAAAGGGGGGCGCAGCGCAGCCCCGGCTCCCGCGCGGTTATCTTACTGCGCAACAACCTCGCACGCGCACCCCGCAGCGCTCCCTGCGCACCTGCCGGGCGCGAGGGCGAGCCCGTGGCCCCAGGCAGACCCCAAAGGCAGCGCCCAGAGCAAGTAGCACAGGGAGCAAGAGGGCGGGGGTTGGGAGAGAGAACACCTGGTGCCAGAAGCGCCGGCCGCACGTGGCTGTCACACCTGGCGCGCCCCCGCCTCGCACCCCTTCCCCCTCCCACCCGGCTGCGACCCCTGCCCTCCTTCCCCCGTCCGCCGCGCGCCCCCAAGCCCCAACCGTCGCCCCTTCCCACCCCACCTATCCCGGTCCCACTCCCCCCACCTGCTTCAACTGTCGTCACCCCCGGGAGAGATGAGGGCCGGATGTTCGTCCGGTGACTAAAGGTAAACCAGAGAGACTGAAGAGGTGGACCCCGAAAAAGCTAGCCCGAGCACTGCCCCGGCCCAATAACAACGCGGACGCCCCCTAGACTGACCTTCTGCCGCGGGCTGCGTCGCCGTCCTCCCCGTCCGGCCTCACTCGTCTCCTCGGCGCCGCCGCCTCTTCCCCGCGCTGCTTCTTCTACCCGCGTCGCCATGAGGTGACGGCAGCAGCCAAACAAGCGGCCCGACAAGGGGCACAGAACCTCGCAGGGCCTTGCGTCCCGCCCCTGAACACCTACGGCCAATCGCCGCACGTCAGGCTCCCCACGTGACCGGAGGAGGTTGACCCCCGAGGGGCTGGAGCAGGATGGGGGTGGGGAGCTTTGAAGCCGGGGCCGGGCTTCTGCCCCGCTGCTGGGCGAACAGAGACCGCGCGCGTCTGCGCAGACGGAGAAAGGGTACGCGAGCTGACTACAAGTCCCAGCAGGCTGTGCGGCCACGGCTCACAGGCCCGGATCGGGATTGGAGCGTAATGCGGCGTTCTGAGACGGAGAGAGTATCCGCCGTGCTGTGCGTGCAGCCTACTGGGACTTGTAGTTTTCTGGGGACGATGTGCCGGTACCGGAAGGTACGCTTTATTATCCTGCGAGGAAAGTTTAGAAATATTCCGGCGTTTGGCAGGGAGCGGGATGGAGGATGCGTCGTTGTGTTTTTGTTTTTGTTGCTCTTCTTCGGAATTGAGCTCGGCTGATTTGAGGATAAAGGGAAATACTTCGTGACTTTCAAGGCAGGAGAGATGTAATGGCTTTCAGAATTTTAGGTTTCTGGCTCGGAAACCTCCCTCAAGTCCTGCCTCTCCACCAAAGCTCTCAGCCCCGTGTACCTGTTCCGAGCTCCTGCGAAATCCGGGCTGTGTCCTATTCACCTTGGCTGAACCGCCCCGGCTTCTAGCATCGTTCTCCACACTTAGTTGGCGCTTAATACATGTTGAATGCATCCTGCTTTCTCCGCCAGTCGTTTCCTTACGGAATTTTTAAAACAAACTCAGTTTGCTGAATCGATTTGTTTGGGTTTTTTTTATTGACATGATTGGGACGGGGGAGTTTTCCTCAGGAATATTCCCTATATCCATCTGATGGAACCAGATCTCCAATATCCGAGCTTCTGAAAGGCACAGACTGCCATGAAATCCTGACATACATATAGTTTTAAATAATTAATTATGAAAATATGTGTAAATCCTATACCATTTTTTATTAGAGTTGAATACAAAACAGTGGCATCAGGCGCCAAAAAAATTAATAACATACATGAGAGTAAATGTCAATATTGGGGAAATTCCATCTATTAATTTTAATTATTTCTGTAAATTTGGGCAAAGTACCATTTTGTTTTGTGGGCAGAACCTCTATCCAACTTTGAGATTTCAAAACTAAAGCAATAGATAATGAACCCATACCCAGACTATATATAAAGTCGATGGCCTTAGCCACCATGCCTCAGCTTCTTAAAGGCAAAAGTCCCAACAAGATGCAGAATGCATCTAGCAGTAATGTTGCGTCTAAGGCGTCCAGGGAGTTGAGTGTCAAAAAGCACTGTAGTTAAATTATGGTACAGTGGAATATCATGCAGCTACTAAAAATGATAAACATGTTTTAAATTGACCTAGAAAATAGCATAGTGAGCTTAAAATTTTCCATTTATATAGAATTGGCTGTATGTTTATAAAGAGATGTTTAGAAGTCTATTAATCAAAATGTTAACAATATTTTTTCCTGGGAGATTTGGGAGTATTTTCACTTCATGATTTTCTGTACTGTTTGAATATACGTATGGAACAAAAAAATAATTATCTTTATTAAGAAAACAAACTATGAAAGTGACTTCCAGTCTTAAGATAAATGAAAAATGTAATTGTATTTATTTATATAACATTCTTATTTCAAAAGGGATTTGGGTGGCTTGTAAACATATACACAATATGCCATGACCTACGTGTGTGTACATATATAGATATGTATCATGTCATTCATTCTGAGATGAGAGAGAAGAATAAAGTGAAAATGAAAGGATAGGAAAAATAAGATGAAGTCATGGGTTAGCTGAATGCATAAAACACATGCCTTAAGGTCTTGTACACAAGATGGAGGTGAGTCAAAGTTTTATTTTGAGCTTCTTGACTGCTGAGAAAGGAGGAAAATACAATTTTCAAAGTGATTCACAACATTACAAAATAAAAACAAACTGGTTGCTCAAGAGAAGCATAGCTATTACTGCTCCTGTGAGAAATAGGAATTTCAGAGGTCTGTTTCTTATAACATCTTTAATGTAGGCACTGGTGCTTTTGAAATCTGTCCACAAGTTCTTTGATGCTTCTTTCAAAAGGTGGAGTCTGATTCCCCACTTCTTTTTTTTTTCTTTTTTTTTTAAGATTTTATTGGGGAATTGGGGATGGGAACAGTGCTGGGGAATTAGGAAAGGGGAACATTGTGTTTTTCCAGGACCCATCAGCTCCAAGTCAAGTTGTTGTCCTTCAATCTTAGTTATGGAGGGCTCAAGCTCAGCTCCAAGTCCAGTAGCTGCTTTCAATCTAAGTTGTGGGGGGCACAGCCCACCATCCCATGCGGGAGTCGAACCAGCAACCTTGTTGTTAAGAGCACGTACTCTCACCAGCTCAGCGGCAGCTCAGCGGCAGCTCAGCGGCAGCTCAGCGGCAGCTCAGCGGCAGCTCAGCGGCAGCTCAGCGGCAGCTCAGCGGCAGCTCAGCGGCAGCTCAGCGGCAGCTCAGCGGCAGCTCAGCTCGGGTGCAGCTCGGGTGCAGCTCGGGTGCAGCTCAGTGGCCCATGTGTGATTCCCCACTTCTTGAATGTGGGCCAGGCTTAGTGATAGGCTTCTAAGGAATAAAGCATAGCAGACGTGCTGTGTAGCTTCCAATGCTGGGAGAGAAAGAATAGCTTCTGCCTAGCTCTCCAGGTCTTGGGTCACTCTCTTCTTCCTTAGGTCAGACCAACCTGATTTCTGATAGACCCATTCTTTGTTTAGATTTTTATCTTAAATGCCTCAAAGAGGTACTGTCAAGGATTTGCCCAAGGCCCTGTAAAGCACTGTGCTTATCTCTGCTGGAATTCATTGTTAGGGTAGTATTTTAGGTCTTCAAGGGCTATCAAGTCTTTAAAGGGCAAACTGGTGTTCTGTTTGTATTACTTACTCTCACTTTTGCTCAAGGAATTATTGTCTCTGTTAAGAATTGTGCCTGCCAGGAAAATGAAGGTCAAAAGGAAACAGGTCCTCATTGGGTAGGGGGGTGGTTCTCCCCAGGCTCCCCCAGGGCTATGGCTAGAACCTGAATATGGGCCCATTTATTCGGATATTTATTTAGCAGCCATGAGCCTGAGGCACAAAACAGTTCTGAACAGTAAGCTCAATGAAGTCTCAATTCTCTATCATTTTTGCATGAAATGCAAAGCACTCTAGGAGGACTCACCACTTATTACTGAGCAAGATTCTGTTGGCCTTATAGCAAGATTCTGTTGGCATCAGGAAACTTGGGACCCTCAGAGTTCATAGCTGGACAAAGGACCCTTTAGAGCTTTAGCCTGTAGTATTATCCTTAAAGCAACAGGCTTTAGACTTGCCGGGTTCTTATACCCTGTCAAGTGCAAGGGTGAGGAGAGTCGCATAGATTTTACACAGTGCACATATCTTGAATATCATTGATTTCACCAATGTGAGCCCATTTCTGACACCCATTATACCGACTAACAAGCTACTCATTTCACCAATGAAAACCCATTTCTAACCTTCATTTTGATACTTAGCAAAGCCTTGGTATTGATTGAACTATGGCTAACAGAAGCAGTTAGAGTAGCTGAAATATGGACTCCCTGATTAATAGAGTTGACCACCCCTGGCGTGGGAAGTCCTGAGCGAGGTCATTGCAGCCCCTAATTTAACACACACACACACACACACACAG